CTTCAAAAAAAAAAAACAAAAAAAAAATGAGACAAATTGTTAGAATTACAGTTAGTATACTAAGCGACTAATAGCTTTTTAAAATGTTGTTGTACAAATTCGTGCAATGACAATAAAGCTTTCAAATTCTAAATATAAACCAAGAAACAGGTGCATGATTAGAATGAGTATAACCGCTTAAGAGGGCTTTTGGCAGAAACCTACAACAAAGCGAAACACTGGCTGTTTATTCTAAATGCGTCACTGTGGGAAATCCAGTGTGACCATATAACTGTCAAGTCTCAGCCCAAGCATCACAGCAGCTTTTTACAAGAAGTTGATTGAAAAACTCTTCTTTCCATAACAAAAACACCCTGTAGCCCTGCAGTGGATGACGATCTGATCATTTCCTCGGTTTAAATTACTTGAAACTAGCAGAGTTAGGGTCTTTGCCATTTCATAGCTTCTGCAGCTTCCGTGTTCTTATCAGACTGTGTGCTGTACTGACAACAAGCGAAAAACATACTGCTTTATGTTTTGGCGTGCAGCGTAACCACATGTACAATCAGGGAAATCTTGATGCATCTCATCAGGGAGTGACTATACTGAATATTGCCAAGCCTGAGCTGACGCTGCTGGCCTTTACCTTTGTCTAGGTAGTAGGGGTTCAGAATGATATGGGGCTCATCGTCGAGCAAGCTGTCCTTTTCGCTCCACTGGTGGTGTCGATTTCTCCTTCGACCCCCGAAGCACAGCAACATAGTCCACCTATTACCTATTACCTGCGGGACGTCTCCATGATTCACAGAATAACCATTCAAGAAGAAAACCCCTGAAATATCACGTGTCAGTGCAAATCATCGGTTATCACTTCATTGACCCGTCCTCCTGGGTTCTGTCTTCTTTCAGGCGTTTCTGTGAAAATCTCTCCTCAGCTCCAGCATGTCGGTCCTCTGCAGGCTTTGTCCATCAAAAAAACAAGTACTCTCTTCTGGCACTTGCATGGTGCCGTGATGTTCCTTCCATGCAGACCTGATAATGTGGTTACCAGCAGAAGCCTGACAGGCAGCTGGACAGCCTGATGAAGTGGCCCAGAGAGGCCGTGTGTCACAGTTCACATGGAGTCATTTCCTCCCGGTGATAGGTAATGCAGGTGTTGGTTAGCAGGGTCCTACATAAGAAACTCTGATAGGATTAAAGTTAATCCACTATCCTGTTGTCTTTGTTGTTGTTCAGTCCAGAGGAAACCTGCGTCGCTGTAAATCCTTGGGATCTCAATGTGCTGAACAGGTAACAGAGCTCCTCTTGTGTTCCCCCTCTCTCCTCCTCCTCTGTCCTGTGGCTAAATGCTTCTACCTCTTGTAACCGAATCTTGATGGCAGCAGGGAGGGTTTTTCAGAAAAACTGGATTGGCATGATTCGAGGTTCAAGAATTCCTTTCTGCCTTCTCCTCCGTACGTGTTTACACATCTGCCCGGTTGTGAGTAGATGTCATAGCGTGTGTGTCACATCTCATGCATGCGTCACTGTGACAAACAAGACTGAACTGCTGATGTTTTGCCAACATGACTTTGACCCGACTATGCGACTTCATTCAATATCTTTACCAACACAGAGGTTTTTCTGTTTTTTATCTCATCATGTGTGTTATCACTGTCACAGCCGTGTGAGACATGAACTCAGGAAAATGCCAAAGACGATTGGGTGCTTGCCTTTCACAAATGAAGAATGCAGCAGGAGATTGTTCGGATCAGACGAGTTCACAACAGGAGCATTCAGCAGGCCCGACATGACACAGGAACCCTTCTGCTTTTTTATTCATGGAATGTGTATCAGTGTATTGTTTAGTTTCGTGAAATTAATGTTGGATTAAACCAAAATGAACGAAATAAACGAAATTACTTTCACGCTATATGTCCTTTGTTATTCTGCCTAAAGTTTCTATTTTGATCCTAGTTTGGAAGCTATTCTGTGTTAAATAAAGTAATAATTATACTATATATGCACTTTATATATAATATTATATAAAGCACCTGCTAGATATATACATCAAAATGAGTCCATGCAGATTTGAGGGGCTGTGATACTTTTATAATTCCTATGAGCAGGGACAGATATGTCTGAGCAGCAGACATGACAGACGGGCAGCTCTGGCGTGTTGACATAAGGACGCAGACACTATGTTGTCTAGCAGATAGCATGATGCATCAAAGCCGCACGAGTTAAGCTTCCTAACCCTCCATCAGAATTAGAGCGTGAGTCAGCAGCATGAGGAAGAGGGCCGTGCACATATGTACGCTATTCCAAGAGGACAGTCTTCTTCCTCTGGTAAACGCGGCATGATAAAGAAGGAAGCGACTTAAAATAATCTGCTTTAGACGGGAAGGTGGATTCTTTTCTTTTTTTCTCACAAAGGTGCTGCAGATTTCATTCACACACACCTAATGAGCATCCAGCACCCGAAAGACAAAACTGGGGTGATTTACTTTCTGAAAGCACAAACATGCAAGTCTCATCTGCTTCAGTGTTTGGCGAGAGGCTTTGCATGACAAATCGGTGTCAAACCTTGCAGCTGTGACTCACGGGGGTTCAACGAGAACAGAAACGTTTTCCTTGATGTCATTCTTTTTTAATATAACCCCTTGTGAACATGTGAATTTGAAGCAGAGTTTTTGCCGAACCTGGGGAGTCAAAGAAGACGGAAATTATTCACAGCTTTCAGAGGAGTCCTTGATTGGAGAGATGACTGATCTCATTGGACGGAGTCAGAAACTGTGATTAACGTCATCACACACCCAACACACACGAGTCCTGAATTGCTAATAGACCCATGTACAAGATTCTGCCCGAGGCCTCAGTCAAACCAAATGACTCCTGATGCCGTCCACTGCATATTTGATGTTATCTGCAGAGAATACTGAAAATATGATGAGACTTTGTTCGAGTAAATAGAGAGAAGAAGAATTGGGCATGCCAATAAATAAATGATCATGCCCAAAAATACATATCAAAACTTTATCTTGATAGTAATTGACAATAATATTAAGTGGTTATTATAAATTACCATCAGAGCCCACTGGTGTCACTATAATTATGCATTCATGTGATCTGCTACAAGGTCATGTTTTAAATATGCTGAGTTAAACCATCAGAATTTAGGCTTGTTATGCTGCAACCTGCTTTGCTTTGAATGAAGACCAACGTGACGAGACTGGGTGATGGAGTTTCCTCGTTCGCTCATTAGAGCGCTCGGAGAAGCTTTTTAACGAGCTGTACCCAGATCATCTAAATTGGACACGTCCGCGACTCCATGAATGTCTTTGTTGACATTTTTTTTCCTGCTCTAATTGTATTAAAATGATTATAATGTCATTTAGGGTCCAAACGTCCCTAATAACTCCAACAGCTTCCACACAGTCAGATATAGACTAAGGTGATTAATGTTGAGCATAGTTTCTAATGACTGTTAGCTACTGGATCCTTATTAGCGCTTATCGGTACAATGGCTTCCACAACTTATGACAAGGAGGTTATGTTTTCATCTTTATTTGCTTGTTAGCAGTATTAGGCAAAAACTTTGTGGAAAGGATTACATTTTGGTGCTGATCCAGGATTATTTTTATTTTAGTTTAACATTGTGAGACAGTGCGTTCATCAACATTTGAGTTTATTTCCTCAGAGAAACATTTATGGATCTTAATGGAGAAATTCCGGCATGTTTGGAGGACTGCTATTTATGGGTTTGTGCAATTTGGTGAGGAGCCGAATAAATGTGGTTTCATAAGGGGGAGTCTTGGGCCTGGCATTA